CAAATAAATGGCCATGAAGAAATTACATTACATTATGAACAAACCATTTAAAAAGATCACATTAGGAAATAATATGTCCTTTGTGGAGGAGGAAAACACGTCTTGATATTTACATATTTACATTTTTTGGTGTTTTTAGTTAAAACTTATTTTGACTAGGCCCAAACATTTCTTTAGTTGTAAAAAAAAATCGTATTTTTTATCAGAATTTTGGCAATAAATCTTATGAAATAAAGACTCAGGAAGGGCTCTAAAAGTGTCCATTGATGGTTCAAACCAGACAGGAATACGTTGTTTCCTGTGGTTAATTGGTGACGGGATGAAAAACGCTAAAACAATTCAGCAGAGAGCGTTTAGTGTCTGGATGGATTCCCACTCTGTGCCACATGAGTCGCCTGGTTCTGTGAGATTAAACGCATGGATGTCCACTTAAATTCACCAGAACTGAGCAAAAAGAAAGCCGTAAATCTATCGGAATTTGGAGAAAAAAACATGAGAAAAGAAGTGGTTTTGTCATTGTTTAGTTTAGTTTAGTTTTATTAGGATCCCCATTAGCTGTAATTACATTACATTATGAACAAACCATTAAAAAAAATCACATTAGGAAATAATATGTCCTTTGTAGAGGAGGAAAACACGTCTCAATATTTACGTATTTACATTTTTTGTGTTTTTAGTTCATACGTATTTTGGCTCAGCCCAAACATTCCTTTAGTTGTAAAAAATTTTTAACTTTTTACCAGGATTTTTGGCAATAAATCTTATGAAATAAAGACTCAGGAAGGGCTCTAAAAGTGTCCATTGATGGTTCAAACCAGACAGGAATACGTTGTTTCCTGTGGTTAATTTGTGACGGGATAAAAAACGCTAAAACAATCCAGCAGAGAGTGTTTAGTGTCTGGATGGATTCCCACTCTGTGCCACATGAGTCGCCTGGTTCTGTGAGATTAAACGCAGCGAACGCATGGATGTCCGCTTAAATTCACCGGTTCTGAGCAAAAAGAAAGCCGTAAATATATCGGAATTTGGAAAAAAAAACACGAGAAAAAAAAGTGGTTTTATCATTGTTTAGTTTAGTTTTATTAGGATCCCCATTAGCTGCCAAATAAATGG